CCTTGGGGGGCGGCGCTTTTTTTTTTGCTGCTTGGGGCAGCAAAAAAGTTAGAGCCGGCCTTGGCTGCTGCATTCCAGCACTGCTCTCATACAGGGTCTCTGCTTAGCCCATAGTCTAGCATTTTAACTGATTGTAGTATTATGTATAGCCATGTGCTACCAAATAGAATGAGCATAGCACATGGCTAATTACATGTAGTATAGAGTAACTATGGGCTAAACTCACAGGCGAGTATGTAGTGCTGGTCTGTGAGGTATGTAATCAGACTGTTCGTTAAACCTTTGGAGCCTTTCCAGTCTAAGTAACTCTACGTGGATGAATATAGTATCCAAGTGCCTCCCAACATAAAGAGAAAAGGTGGGTGAAGTAGTATCTTTTACTGGACCAACTTCTATTGGTGAGAGAGACAAGATTTGGAGCTTACACACAAGCCCTGAAGAAGAGCTCTATGTAAGCTCAAAAGCTTGTCTCTCTCATAACAGAATTTGGTCCAATAAAAGATATTCCTTCACCCATCTTGTCTCCCTAATATCCTGGGATCAACATAGCTACAACATTGCATATTCAATATATAAGTGGTTAATAAAAAGCAATACAGTGATATGCCTATCACAGTGCTAACGTGAGCAACTTTGGGTATATCAGTATTTACAAGTAGTTGCTTTAAACATTCCTCCTGTTATTGACTGTATAGGATATTGGAGTGGACATTGTAATACTTTGCCATGTATAATATATATATTTTTAAATTTTAGCTTCTCTTTCCCTCATAGACTTTAAGGCCAGAAGGGACCATCATGATCATGTATTCTGACCACCTGCACATTGCAGGTCACAGAACCTAACCCACCCATTCCTGTAATAGGCCCATAAACTTTGGCTGAGTTACTGAAGTCCTCAAATCTTGATTTAAAGACTTCAAGTTACAGAGACTTCAAGTTTACCCTGGTTCAAGCGAGCAAGTGACTTGTGCACCATGCTGCAGAGAAAAGTGAAAAAATTAGTCTATTTTAATGTAACATATTTTCACCAAAGTTTGGTGTGAGTGTGTAGTAGAGGTGCTCTAGTGGCTCTGTAGTTAAGATTGGATTCACACATTCCATTGAAAGTACAGTAGAACCTCAGAGTTACAGACACAGGAATGGAGGTTATTTGTCACTCTGAAATGTTTGTAACTCTGAACAAAACTTTATGGTTCTTTCCAAAGTTTACAACTGAACATTGACTTAATACAGCTTTGAAACTTTACTATGCTGAAGAAAAATGCTGCTTTTAACCATCTTAATTTAAATGAAATAAGCACAGAAAGAGTTTCCTGGTCAATCTTTTATTTAAACTTTCCCTTTCTTTTAGTCGTGTACATTTAACACAGTACTATACTATATTTGCCCTTTTTTTGGTCTCTGCCACTGCCTGATCGCATACTTCTGGTTCCAAATGAGGTGTGTGGTTGACCAGTCGGTTCGTAACTCTGGTGTTCGTAACTCTGAGGTTCTCCTGTAGGATTAATACATACGAGTATTATCAAAATAGGTTGAAGTTTTTTTTAATTTTGAAATTTGGACAAAATTTCAAAAGGAAAACATTTCTAACAGTTTTGAGAAATGTTCCCTTCCCCTCTCCTCCCACCCACCCCCCCTTTTTTTTGTTTTGTTTTGACTAAGACTACATGTTTTGCTCTTTAGTTGCAATTATATTGACTGTTGGGGGAAGTTTCATCACCATCTCTCTGATTTTACAGCTTCCTCTCATGTTCATATTCCTGTAGAAGATGATGCTGTGCATGTAATTAAAGTGGTAATGTTCATATCTCCCTTCTAAATTATTTAAAGTACTAGCATTTTCACTTGCATTTTCTATTTATTCTTATTTTGAGCATTGAGTTGCATTGCATGTTTTTTGTGTGCCATTCTTCCATCATAGCATAATTTGTCTGCGGGAGGAATGTTTTGTGATTCCTTAATGCTTGCTGTTTCTTTGCTTCCATTACTAACCATGGACATCACAATGGGGGGGGGGGGGGGGGAAGTCAGACTGCGTATTTAAGAATATACAGTGATTGAAGTTAAAATGTATTAATTTAATTTCCTAAATAGTACTTGCATCAGTCTGTATTACATGTTTTTTTGGGGGGGGTATTTGCAGTGAACAGCTTTTTTTACCAACAGAAGTTATTGGTTTTTAAAGCAATACACTGGCTATATTTTATGTAAAATAACTTTTTTGTCAAATGTCATACTGTATCTTTTTTTAAAAAGTGGATTTTAACTCAATTGGAACTTCCAATCTATTATTTAGGAACTCCCCCCCCCCCCCCAACTCACTTTTTCACACCAAATTTATTTGTTCCTTTATAGGAATATCATGAAAATGGGCCTTTGTTTTCTGAATTAAACTTTTACCAGAGAGCTGCAAAACAAGAGCACAGTAAGTAATATCAGCAAAACAAAATAAAATGAAAAGGTAATTTTTTCCAATTAGAGCAATTGATATCTTGAAGCTTTTATATCAAGCATAATTCAGACAGTGGGACTGATTCTGATCTGGTTTACACTAGTTTTATTCTCACTGGTGTAAGTGAAAATAGAATCAGGACTAGTAGGGTGACAAACCTGAGGGAGAACTAGCCTCTCTCCATAGTCCATTTTTTAGGCTATGGACAGAGGCATTGCAAGGACTAGATAGTAAGGCTAGTATTTCAGGAATGAAGTTACTCACATGCTTAAGTGTTTGCAAGATTTAGTAGTAATTTAGGCACTGAACCTGCAAGCTCTTTACTCATAATAGCAGTCCCAATGATTTCAAATGAGCAAAAATTGCACATGTACTTAAGTATTCTGCTCGATTGAGGCCTAATTGCATACTCTGTTGATCCACGGTTTACTCTAGAGGGTAAATTCAAAAAGTAAAGTTTTTAAAGGAACTAGTTTTTCTCAGCTACTGATTGGATTCCTATTGTGTTGTTATGACTCAGAGAAGCGTATATTAAAGGAACACAGCTTTATTTTTGCAGAAAGTTACTTGTTGAACTTTTTAATTGGGCTGTGGTAAAATAGTTACCTGTATGTGTTTTCATTTTAACAACAAAGATTCTAATGATAGTTCAATTACTAAAGTTAAACTGTAGATTTTTCAAACTACCTTAAATTCTGGCTTATCTATTATTATTTTGACAGTCAAAACGTGGATGAAGCTCAGACAAATAGGATTTTTAGGAATTCCGGTATTCTGGGGAAGAGGCACGGCTGAATACAATGGAAAAAGGTAATAACAAGGTGAATTGGAGTCAACACTGTTGGGCTCATAGTTGCCCGAAGATCTATTTTCAATTAAATGAAGGATGTTTTGAGCTTGTTGATATAAAGCTATCTGTGTCCCCTGCCTTACAAAGATTCCTCACTTGTGCATTTTCTAATAGGTATAGATTCATGGTCATGGAAAGATTAGGGGTAGACCTGCAAAGAATCTTGGACAATGATGGACACCGGTTTAAAAAAGAAACAGTTCTGCAACTTGGGGCCCGAGTGGTAAGTGCAGAGGGGAAGGAAATGGGCCTGTTTTTAATGTATTGAACTCTTCTAATGCATCTGCTCTTTGTGAAATGCTGACATCTATTTTGGTCCCAAGTCAGCATGAAGTTGCATAGATACTTAAGTATCATCCTGAATCAGGGTCTTAATTTTCCTCTTCAAATTATATTTTTATGAAACAGAGTGTTAATGATTAGGAATGGAAACTAGATACTCTTTACCCTAGATCTCTATGGACCTGAGCCAAAGCTCATTGAAGTGAATAGAAAAACTTCAGTGGGCTTTGGATCAGGCTCAGTAACAGGACATGAGACAAAATGTTCAAATATGGATGCCTAAAGTTAGGCACCTACACCCATATTTGGAAACACCAACTAAGAGGCCTTATTTTCAGAGATTTTGAAGGTGCCTAATGTTCATAGAATCATAGAATATCAGGGTTGGAAGGGGCCTCAGGAATTCATCTTAGCCAAACCCCTGCTCAAAGCAGGACCAATCCTCAACTAAATCATCCCAGCCAGGGCTTTGTCAAGCCTGACCTTAAAAACCTCTAAGGAAGGAGATTCCACCACCTCCCTAGGTAACCCATTCCAGTGCTTCACCACCCTCCTAGTGAAAAAGTTTTTCCTGATATCCAGCCTAAAGCTCCCCCACTGCAACTTGAGACCATTACTCCTTGTTCTGTCATCTGGTACCACTGAGAAAAGTCTAGATCCATCCTCTTTGGAACCCCCTTTCACGTAGTTGAAAGCAGGTATCAAATCCCCCCTCATTCTTCTCTTCTGAAGACTAAACAATCCCAGTTCCCTCAGCTTCTCCTCATAAGTCATGTGCTCCAGCCTCCTAATCATTTTTGTTGCCCTCTGCTGGACTCTTTCCAATTTTTCCACATCTTTGTAGTGTGGGGCCCAAAACTGGACACAGTACTCCAGATGAGGCCTCGCCAATGCCGCATAGAGGGCAATGATCACGTCTCTTGATCTGCTGGCAATGCTCCTACTTATACAGCCCAAAATGCCGTTAGTCTTCTTGGCAACAAGGGTACACTGTTGACTCATATCCAGCTTCTCATCCACTGTATCCCCTAGGTCCTTTTTTGCAGAACTGCTGCCTAGCCACTTTGTCCCTAGTCTGTATCAGTGCATGGGATTCTTCTGTCCTAAGTGCAGGACTCTGCACTTGTCCTTATTGAACCTCATCAGATTTCTTTTGGCCCAATCCTCTAATTTGTCTAGGTCCCTCTATATCCTATTCCTATCCTCCAGTGTATCTACTACTCCTCCCAGTTTAGTATCATGTGCAAACGTGCTGAGGGTGTAATCCACGCCATCCTCCAGATTATTAATGAAAATATTGAACAAAACTGGCCCCAGGACCAACCCTTGGGGCACTCCGCTTGATACCAGCTGCCAACTAGACACCATTGATCGCTACCCGTTGAGCCTGATGATCTAGCCAGTTTTCTATCCACCTTATAGTCCATTCGTCCAGCCCATACTTCTTTAACTTGCTGGCAAGAATACTGTGGGAGAGCATATCAAAAGCTTTGCTAAAGTCAAGGAATAACACGTCCACTGCTTTCCTCTCATCCACAGAGCGAGTCTTCTCGTCATAGAAGACAATTAGGTTAGTCAGGCATGACTTGCCCTTGGTGAATCCATGCTGACTGTTCCTAATCTCTTTCCTCTCCTCTAAGTGCTTCAAAATTGATTCCTTGAGGACCTGCTCCATGATTTTTCCAATGACTGAGATGAGGCTGACTGGCCTGTAGTTCCCGGGATCCTCCTTCTTCCACTTTAAAAAAAAGTAGGGCACTATATTTGCCTTTTTCCAGTCATTCGGGACCTCCTCCAATCACCATGAGTTTTCAAAGATAATGGCCAGTGGCTCTGCAATCACATCCGCCAACTCCTTTAGCCACCCTTGGATGGAGTCGCATCCCGACCCCCGAGGGTACTTGTG